TGTTCGGGAATCATTCCAAGAGTCGTGAAGGCTTTCTCTGTCTCAGCCAGCTAGTAGTCGGCCTCTTTAAAGGAGGATGTCCTTACAAAAATAGATGAGTTTAGTCTTTTATACCTCTCAATGTAGTCTGGGTCCATCATAGGAGGAACTAAGTCCCGTGGAAAAAGGACTGGATTGTGTTGAGGATGGACTAGATAGCCCTGTAGTGGTACTGGATGATACGTTGGAGGCCTCGAATTGTACTGTGGTGGTGTCGAGTGATGCGGTTGGAGCACCGGACTATACTGTGGTGATATCGGGTGGTACTGTGGTTAAAGCATCGGATCATAATGTGGTGGTGCTGGATGGTACTGTGCAGGAGTAGGGTCGTACCAGAGTGGTTTAGGATCCTCTCACTGCAGGGGTGGCTCAACTTGTGGTAGCGGGAGAGGGTTAGGTAGCTCCTTCTTTTCCTTCCGGGCCTGATGGACAGCGATGAGTCTCTCCAGCATTTCAAATAATCGGTCAACGTCCTCTCGAAGCGAACCCTCATGGGCTGCTAAGTTTAGTGGGGGTCTTCCTTTCCTCATCTATCTGTACCTACATTTCACAAAGAACAGTTGAGTGATAATTCATGGTGTTTGGTATTTCCTAAGGATTTTATATAAGGAATGGTTCTGAAGAACGTGGCTCTGATACCAACTGTAACGACTTGTGAACTTAAAAGGAAATAAATTATGAATTGAATGCGCAAGCGAAACAATAAATTAGGGTTTACATTCCTTATATAATAATTCGGATACCCAATAGGGCTACGAGAATAACCATTCTAAGTAATAACTAATAATCAATAAATCAATGAAAAATAATAAACTGAACGTCCTATTCGCAACCCTCTTGTGGATCGGACTCTGGATCTTAGTCATCTTGATCTGAAATGGTTAATGAAAGAGTGAGCTACACTACCCCAATAAGAATATCACGCTACTCACCGATACAGAAATGAAGGTTGGTAAAAATCATAAAAATAACTAATAAAGTTCTTAATTTAAGTAAAATTCATTTATCATAAATAAAATCATTCACCGCATGCTTACCGTAGCAAAATTTCCAAAACCGACCTATAGAGTCAATAACATAAATAATATCATAATTTCAATCAGTCGGAATAACAGTTTTCTCATTTATCAGTTTATTGGTATCCATCGGGGTTCATAGGGATATCCCCACTATGCATGAATCCTTTTTCAACATTTTCAACTGATGGGTCATCCTCATATCTCGTCTGGTATGAGCGCTAAGAAATATCATCACTCAATACTCCATCCAGTATGAGGGTAAAACAGGTCGTCCCTATATCTCGTCCGGTATGAGCACCAAATTACCAATCTTCGAAACCCCGTCTAGTATGAGGCAATGTTCACGATAGGGTTTCCTATGTACTTGGTCCGTCCATCATCTCCCACGATATCCAGTAAAGCTATCATTCATCCATTCACTTAATCAAATAATTTTTCGTTTACCTTTAATTCCAGTTTTTCAATTTACTATAAATTACGTAAAACAAGCAATACATGCATCAAGGAATCACAATTAAATTATCATATCAATTCCAGTGTGTTATCATGCATTCGAAACTGTAAAATCAATCAATCAGTAAAATATGACAAACATTAATAAATAATCAATTCAGACTCCATTAGTAACATTTAATTATCGATATTTTTAAATCACGTTAAATATCGTATTATTTATAATTAGATTTTAATTCTATAACAAGGAATAAAGTGATGGATTCTTACTCAAATTAATGTCTGAAATGCTAGACTTTCAGTTGCGCCTACTGGTGGTCCCCGAGTTTCTTAAATTTTTCTTCAAAAATTAAAACATGCTTCAAGTATCTAGAAATACCTCAAAAAATCCAAAATCAGCGTTAGTAACCTCTTTTGGCCAATTCTGGAATTCCGACACGGCGGCTTCACCGTGCTTCGGCGATGGCACTGCCACCTGCAGTGGCAGTTTGGCTCGAGATGGTCGTTTTCGGTTGATTTCGGCTAGTTTTGTATCCATCCCTGTGAGAAAACACATTAAGAGGCATGGGTTGGCCGAAAAAAATTGAAAAGCCAAAGCTTACTGACGGTGGGGTTTTTCGGTGCGGCAGCTCCATCGCCTTTCCTTCGTGGCTTGATGTTTTGTTTCGATCAACCTGCAGAAAAAGATGGTGATTACATGGTAGAAAAATTACATGCAACGGGATTGAAGGGCCTCATCGGAGTGGTTTTTATTTTTTC